TGGTTCACCCCCGCGGGCACCGCCGCCCGGTCCTGCCACCGCCGCGGTCTGAAGAGGGACACGTTCCCTCTCTCCTGGGGAGCTTCATTACTTTTATAATATAACGCAAAAAGTTGGGATATTTTCTTGAGTTCTGCAGCAATGGGTGTTAGGTCAGGCAGCCAGAAATTTTAATTAACAATATATCAACTTCATTTGAGTAATTTTAGTTCTGTCAGAAAGTACCTGGCTGAGCTGAGGGATGAGGGAGAATTTAGCAGGTGTGGATCTGATTTTTCCAGCCCCCTGAGAATTCTAGGCAATTTCTGCATTCACTGAAAGGCACGTGAGCCACAAGTGCTGAGCCTCCCTCAAAATCAAGCAACATCAGTCTTCATCTTCTACACAGCCAGTGCTGCAGAGGGGCCTACATTGAAGTCTTTTATGTGTAGTAGTTTATAATCCTAAATGCATTTGGGATTTTCCCATGATTTTCCAAACAAATCTGTATCTCAAAAGTTCAGAAGAAAGAATATGCAGAAACTCCCCTGCCTTGAGTATTTTAATTCAGTTGTATCTGCCTGGATTATTTTAATCCTGTCCCATCTGTATTTTTCCTAATCTTTGGAACTTTCAGTACCTTTTCCTGAACTGTTCCAGGTCCTTTTCTGCTTGCTTGGACCGTCATTCCAGGTACAGGCTTTCATTTGTATATTTGCCTACCTTTAACACACCCAGGCATCACTGTTCTTTGTTATCTGGCTAGGTAGATATCCTCATTGCATTGTCCGTAATGCTTCCTTTACTCCAGACTCGCTGGCATTCTGGTTGCTTAAGATTAAATGCATAATATTTTCCTCTGTTATAAAGATTGTTTTGCAGAATTGTAAGTGCTAATACTGAAAGGCTTATTTTCATGGCCTTTGTTTTCCCAGTAGTACACACATTATAATTTTCGCCTCATCTTCACTTTGTCCCATCCATTTTTTCCATATTATGTCCATCTTTACTATCTTACTTCTACCAATGCAGAAAGGCAGGATATAAAGAGGATAAATGGCTGGTCCAAGAGCAGACAAAGGCAGTAATAGATGCCTTCATACTGACAACAACAACAAAAAAAAGTTGAACCTCGAGGATTATCATACACTGCCACAACTGATAGGAGAATTTTGCTCATGGCCTTCCCCAGTCTCGCTCATTCTCTGCTGCTATAAATTTTCTTCTCCCTGTTACCTGTTACCCACCTGGTGGATCCAGGATTTTAGGTACTTAGCAGCAGCAGTTTTAGGAATCAAAGAATTCTGAAACTTCCTGCCTGGGACCACATGCGCGTTTACTGTGCTGTTCCTCAACACCAGCCTAGCTGTTTCCAGATTCTCTGCAGTTTCACCTCCACCGTTCAGATACACCGTACGAGGTAGTCAGTCCCTCTGTACCACCACAGGTCTCCTTAGGCTGCTGTGTTGAAAGCACAGCTGCTGTTTGACAACGAAGAAGCAGTGTTCCACGCTGACTCCGAGCAAGGATTCCTCTTTTCTTTCATCGTGTTGGATCTGAATCTTCTTTTCTACCTTTCCCCTCCTGGTCGCCCACATAGTTGATAGCACTGGAGGCAAAGTTCAGAATACTCATCAGTAGTTCTGACTGCCAGACATACAGAACAACCGAAATTTGTTCAGTTTAATGGCACTCAGAAAGCCAAGTGACAGAAATACACTGGCCTTCCTTGACTTCTAAGAGGGCTGGTGTACGCCTGCCTCACATAAAATGCCGCACCTTGGTGAAGAGTAGGGCTGGAGTGCCCAGAAAACAGCAGGTTATTAAGTGATAAAAGTGGAATGGAACTCAACCAGGTCTCTCTGCTGTCAAACCACACTCTATGTATACTTAACGTTAAGTCCGACACCTATGTATATTAAATAAAGATCAGATTCCAAAATACCAGAATGCTTTGGAAAGCGGTTTCCTGACAGCAGTAGGGAGTATGTTCATGGATTAAAACTAGATGTGTGCTTGCAAAGAAGCTCCCTTTCACATCTTTTCCTTTGTACCTGTGTAGCTATGTTGGCATACACTGAGAGGAGGCTGAGAAGGAGGTAACGTAAGATACCGTGGCTTTGTGGAACCAAGATGAGTGGTGTGTGTAGCACCACCAGCATTACCAGCTCTTGAGAGTGAAGTCTTCTGCTGTAAAATGGTCTGTGCTACTTCATCTCAGTTCAGTGTTGACTTCTGTCCTCAGCCTGCCAAAGCTGTCCTGTTAATGTTGTGAGGATTCTTGTGGGATGGACAGCAGTGTGCTGGTAGCAAGGTCTCTCACGTGGCTTTTCAGAGTCATCTAAGAGGTGTAACTGCATGGCTCTGACTGCAAGAGATCTAGCTGCCAGCTTTGCGTGGGCTCTCTTTAAAGGATCGTTCTTGAGGTCTTTATTTAATTTGACTGATGATAGCTCAGAGCAGGACTGATCTACAGTAGCTTTAAGATCCATTTTTAAAAACTGTAATTTCCATTAATACCTCCTTTTTGCCTTTCAGACATGGCCATGCCCAGTTCCCTTTTGTGGGCTGTTGACATTTTTGGGCGGGTTTACACTCTGCCTACTGTTGGCCAGTACTGGGAGCTCTGTAAGGACACACAGCTGGAGTTCAAACGGGTCTCTGCTGTCAAACAGTGCTGCTGGGGAATAGCCTGTGACCATCAAGTATACACCTACGTGTTCTCGGGTGACGTTCCTATTAGATACCAGGAAGAAACCTATGAGAATCAGGTATGACATGTTCCGGGTAGCTCTGTCACACTGCCACGTGTTCGTCAGAAAGGAACGACACCAAATCCGTACAGCCGCTCTCTCTGCATGTTTGTCTCACAGGAAGATTGTTTGGTTTTATTTTTTTCATTTTTTACCTGATGTTTCTGAAGAGTACATATGTGCCAAATAGCAGGTTATTCTTTTCATATTTTAATTCTCAAAGGAGGATTATATTTCCCTGCTCTTACCAAAAGCAACGCCAGGGTGTACTATGGCCTGCGTTACGCAAGCCATGTCGGATTGGAACATTCGCCCTTTTCACCTGATGTTTTCCTTTCCTAAGTGACAAATGCGCAGTCCCCTTAAGAAAATGTCCAGTGTAATTTCCAGGCAACAAAGAGACATTATCAGAAATATATTATTCTTCAGAAAATGCAATTTCCTCTAGAAAGGCATAACTCTCCATTGAAGTACAGTGTTTCCAGCTTTTTTGCATAAATGTCCTTCCTACATACTTCAAAAGAGTGTCTTTAAGATAGTATTTTAAAGGGAATTTATCTATTTTGTTTTTAAGTTAACCAAAAGTTATTTGAGAGAGAAAATGGAAGGATTTTCTTGAGCATATTTCTCTGATTTATAACAGGCAATGGGATAAATGTAAGTTGAAAATAGACATTAACTTCTCTGTATGGGTAAAAATACAACTATTTTATACATTATTTAACATTGATACAATGTTCCAGCCATTTAAGAATGTTCCTTTTGTTAAGTAAACATGTTCTTTAAAAATGCAAAATTTTAAATTTTATTTATTTTTAAACTTTTGTTTTGTTTCTTCTAGGCTATGAAAAAAATGGAAAGCAAAATACTAGAAAGCACAAAAGGAAATAACTCTGCAAGAGCTAACAACAAAAAAATTAAACTCAAGTAGTTTACAGATAATGTAGAAAGCAATTTAGCCAGATTCCTAATAAAATTAAAAAATATTTTGCATAGAAATTATAGAAGGATTTTGAACCACTCATTTTCCACATGCCCTAAAGTGTAAGACTGTATTACATGACAAATTTTGCCAGTATTTCTATAGTAGGTAAGAGTGTGGGGAAAAAAAAGAAGTCACAGCTGCACTGGTGAAAACCCTAGCAAGTTACTTGTTCGGTAACTGATGAAAGCCAGATTTGGAGAAAACCCCTCTTGGTATAACGTAAGATACCAGGAAGATTTACTGATACAGTTATCGTGACATAGTTTCTGGCACAGAAGCTCTGCTGGTTTTCTAGTGCAGGCAAGATACTAATCATCTTTCTCATGGGGAGCAGATCCCAAGGCCATCTGTATAGCATTGTCCTAGTGCTGCAGTGCCACGGTGCCATACATCACGAAAGAAAAAAGCACTGTTAGTACCAAAATATATCATCAGATGTTCCTATTTATGTAGCTGAAAATGATTTGGTTGGGACCAGTCAGCCCTTCTCTGATACTTAAAAAAGCTTCCTCCAAAGACTGTGTTAGGTAGGGACTTAGGGCAGGAAGACTTTCTCATTAACCCCAGGAGTTCATTCCTCTTCTACTGCGGAAAATAAGAAATGTGTTATTTATGGCTCCCTGTAGATGACCAATGATGTGATGTGATTTCAAATAAAATATTTTATTTCTGGCAGCGCTGGAATCCAGTTGGTGGCTTTTGTGAGAAATTACTGCCCAGTGACCGCTGGCAGTGGAGTGATGTGAGCGGGCTAAAACATCAGCAGCTTGATAGTTTCACACTGCCTTCACCACACTGGGAGTGGGAGTCTGACTGGTATGTGGATGAAAATATTGGAGGGGAACCAACAGAGAAAGGGGTAGGTGAACAATACCAAAAAAGAGATCTATTCTGGGAATCCGTAGTCCGTAGAATAAAAGGCACTTTTATAGAAGTGTAAAAGGTCTGTAAAAATAAAAGGCACATAACTTCCCATAGCTACTTCTTTCTGGGAAATAGCTCAACTATAATACAACACAAGGAAGGATCTTGTTCGAAGGCTTTTGAAGTCTATAGGAGCTTCTATAGAATCTTTTTTCTTTGATCAGGCCACAAAATACTGGCAACAATGCCATTATTATTTAAGCTCCTTATTATGAGGAAAGTAAAATGCTTTACTGTGTCTTGTTTGCTCTGTATATATCATGCAGAGGAATTTGGACATGATTCATAAATCATGCATGGAATTAGCTGATCTGTTAATCAGGGCTGTTGAGACACGCACAGTAACTCGTACTGTATTTGTAGGAATCGCTCTGACTTACGATTTCAAGCTTTCTCTTGGTCCTGATTTTCATACAAGAAAACCTCTGTTTGCAGGGCTGGACTTACGCCATAGACTTCCCCAGCACCTACACAAAGGATAAGAAATGGAATTCTTGTGTCAGACGCAGGAGGTGGATCAGATACAGGAGATACAAATCACGGGATGTTTGGGCGAAGGTTCTGGCTATCTTTTAAATGTTAAACAAACTGATTTTCTGAAACAGTCAGTTGTAAGTGCAGGGAAATTATTTTTTTATCACTGCTTTGTAGGCTGGACTTGGATTTCTTTACTTCCAACTTCTTACAAACATAAATGGAAGGCAGGGATTTTTCATAGAAGCCTGTGGTAATATGGTGCCAGATCTCATGACAATGCAGTTGGAGATAGATGCTCAGCTCCTCTGCAAATTTCAAACCAACTTTTTAACTTCCTTTGGTTGTTTGACAAAGCATTCTCTTTCGAGGTGGCACCTGTCTAGCATCAATTGCCAGCTATGTCCTTTGTCCTATGAATAACTGTTCTTTAAAGATTGTTGTTCCATTCTAAGAATGCATAAAAATTGTAATTTGTGATGTGCCAGCTTTCCAGTTCAAAGAATATCTGTGAGTAAAATTTTCCTTTAGTTAGGGGATGAAACAGAGACGTCGTGCTGTTTCGGCAGCGTTTCCCCTCTCTGCTATAGCAGCTTTGAATAAGAGGAAGAGTCTCCATGCTCAGCCTCTTTGTAGGTGATACATAAACCAACCTGCAGGAAACAAGTTAGGCCACCGGCCAGATCACTTATCTGTTGCAGTGTCTCCTCGTCTCAGTCTTTCTTCTCTTTGCTTCAGATCGTATCACACGATGATCCAGATCAATTGCCAGACCCTTTCAATGACATCTCTGTTGGAGGATGGGAAATCACCGATGAGCCTCTTGGCCGTTTATCAGTGTGGGCGGTTTCTTTACAAGGAAGGGTATGTACATGTTCCCTAAGTTTTGTAACAAATTCCTACTAAAAAGGAGTTAAACACTTTTAAAGCAAGGCAGGTTTGTTACTGTCCTGTGTTGGTAAGGCAATACGCTGTTGGTGCGTCTGGAAAGAGATCTAAAAGCTGCTTTGGACTGCATTATGTGACAACTTGTGTTGTAAATGGAAAGACTTAGTATCTCCTAGGGTTGCAATTTTATGGAAGCCTTAAAGCTCTGTAAACAGGTGACTCTTAAAAACTTGGGCTGAGTAGTGTCTTACATCTTGAAAAATGCCCAGAATGCAGACTATGGCAGTGGTAGCAAAGAGAGGGAGCCTTAAAACCTGATGGATGGAGATTCTTGCAAAGCGTTGTGCTGTCTCTCTGCGGTGGAGAGTCAGGAATGATTCATGAAAGAGTTTACAGAATGGTTTTCTGAGACTTACTGATGAGAAGATGGTAACGTCCTGGCTTGGCAATGTGGGATCCAGCTCTGGAGTGTTTTCAATTTATTTTCTATTGAAAACTACATCTTCCTTTTTTATTTTTTTGGTGTGTTTTTGGTTTTGTTTGTTTGTTTTGTTTTAGGGCTGCCGTGAGGTCTCTCCTCTTTTGCTCCATGCTGTAAGGGTTTGATTCTTACTTTCCCTCCTTCATACTTACAGCATGTATCTGACATTCTTTGTCTCTAGACAATTTCTAACTTGTGGTCTCAGAGGGAAGAATGCAGTACTTTTAACAGATAGCCTGAGGTTTCAGTCACAATTGGCACTGCCTGGAGAGGCAAGCAATCTTGGTTAACTTGTTTAAAATAAAATTCCCTATGCCTCTTACTTCCCAGTAATAAGTGACAAGCATCCTGCTCTACAGGCTTACTTGACTGACCCTGTAAGATGCTTTCATTTCCTGAGTAAAAGTCCCCAGAGGAAACGTGTTTCTGAAAATGAGGATTTTAGCACTCCGCAGTCATGTTTTGGAGCACTCGTACGACTACTGCAGGATACTTTCTATGTTTGACCTTCCTGTTTTGACTGTGATCTATAAAAAAAGTGCACAGGCAGTAGCACCAAGACTAGCAAATGGACTGGATGTCACTGAAGGCCGCACAGAGAATGGAATTTTTTACCCGTATTGTGGCAAGCTCTGTTCACTGAAAGTGAGGTCGGGCTGTCATCTAACAGTAACATTTTTGTGTTACATATTTGTTCATTCTTGGTTTACATAACACGCCCTGAAATACAGTGAAGCGTTTTTTAGATGTTGAAATGTACACAGAACTTGTAGCAATAGGTTACTGTACCCAGTCCAGATTTGCTTCCATGATAAAAGCTAGTCTGTGGAAAAGCCTCCTCCCTTAGCACATAAGGAAATAGTCTTCAACTGCATAATCAACATCAAAAAAATTAAAAAAAAAAACTTTAAAGGTCAGAGTGCATACTCTGCATAAAAAAAAATCCTGTTGTTAAAGGAACACTGTTCCTTGTCTTCATGCTTGTCTTAGTGGTTTCATTGTTCTGGTGCTGTTTTTCTAAGTTTTATTTGTTTGGGGTTTTTTTTAAACTTGTCTAGGTATGGTACAGAGAAAACGTCTGCCATCACAGTCCAGAAGGTTCGGTGTGGTCCTTAGTCACCACTCCTGGTGAAGTTGTACAGATCAGCTGTGGACCATATGACCTCCTTTGGGCAACTCTTTGGGAAGGGCAAGCTATTGTGAGAGAAGGCATTGATAGGAATAACCCTCAAGGTAATGTTTGTTAAATTTAGCTGGAAACTCCTTTGATTTCTATAGTGTGGAATAAGAAACTAACCTACAGTGCCTTCTGGTTTTGTTTCTTGCAGGAATTTCCTGGAGTATTGTGGAGTCTCCAAGCTCTGAAAATGGGATTATGCACATCTCTGTGGGTGTTGATGTGGTGTGGTGTGTTACAAAGGATAGAAAAGTAAGAGCTGTTATGCTCTGCTTCTGTTTTTTTCTTCTCTTTTTCTATCTGCTTTACTCAAACAGGCATGTAACTTTCATAGGAAACATTGGTGATTCGGACTCGCTATCCCCATGGTTTGGGGAATTCTAGTTCCCCTTGCTGTTACAGGAATGTTCTGTGGTTTGTGATATGCGTAGTTGCATTTAAGTTAAGGAAGACTTTCAGCTTTTCTCTTGGAAGGAATTTTCTAAACCCAAGTCAGACAGATGTGGTAGGTGGGTGGGGATGTTGGTGGGGATGTAGTAAGGTGCCTACTTCTAAGGGATATTAAGCATTGAAACTGAAGGGATTCCTAGCTGCTCAGTCTTGTTTCCACATGGTCTGAACATTCCATCAAAAGCGGCATGGGGAGTATTTTAATCTATGGGGGTTTTTATCTGATTCAGATTGGTAAAAATTAATCCAAGGGGAGAGAATTTAAAGAGCTGTACCACTGAAAAGATCTCTCTGACAGTTCCTTCCATCAGCCCTGCTCATAGGAATGCTATTCAGAAGCCCATTCAGAGTGACCAAAAATAGCCTACAGTTGACATGTAATACAAAGTATTTTTCCAATGGCAGAGAAACTAACTCTGTCACAGAAAGTCATAAAAAAAAAGTCTCCTTGTGGGCTGTTCTGGATGTAGTTGGTCACAAGGACACACAGTCTGGGTACCATTAAGAGAATTATTTTATCTTTACCTGATAAAGAACCAAGGAGGTAAGTGACTTCTTAAGGCAATGCAGCAAGTCAGTATAAGAGATTAAGTCTAATCCACTAAGGAAATGATTATTCCACCTGTCTGCCTGCTGATGCAGGAGGAGCAAAATGTAGACTTTTTGCTGTTGCTGTTGTAGGTGTGGTTCAGAAGAGGAGTGAACTCACATAATCCTTGTGGGACAAGCTGGATTGAAATGGTTGGAGAAATGATGATGGTAACTGTAGGGTTAAATAACCAGGTAAGACAGCTGCATACCAATTATGAGGATATTTATGTTCCCCTTTGTACAGGCAGTACTCACATGTGGCAAGGACTGTCAGCAGGGCCAGTATGGATAGCTGAACAAGAGGTCCATGTCCTTGAACTGCTAGGAAGGAATCTGTCACCGAATTCTTCACCAGAAGATACAGTCAGCATGTCTCTCATATGGCACGTTCACGTGAAAACAGTTTTCTCTTGATGGTACAGAATTTTATACTGCACTACAGTATCAGCATTAAGGAAGAACACAAAAGGAAAATCCTGTGTCCAGCACATTTCTATGCTGAATTTTCCACCACTGCACCTTTTTTGTAGCTGGTATCTACCTGCATTCCATGCCATTTCCTTCACCAAGCCTTCCTTCCCTAGGTCTGGGGAATCGGCTGCGATGACAGAGCCATTTATTTTCGTCAAGGTGTCACACCAAGTGAGCTCAGTGGGAAGACTTGGAAGGCAATTGTATCTGGCCGAGAGAGTGACAGATCTCAGTCTGGGAGCTCAACAAGTCTGCTCAGGTACTTAGTGAAATACTTGCTTGAGACTTTGTACACCAAGAGTTTCAGTGGTAGGAGATACTTCTTTATGTTCAAATGGTGCAGACAGGGACGAGCGGGGAAGGCACCTCTAATCATTATGTATGCCAAAAAAGCATTTGCCTTTTTTTTGCCATTAAAATTAACAATAAGCAGCAGTTTTTGCACTCAGAGTAGAAACTGAAGGTCCCGCTTTGGAATTCATTGCATGCTTGCAGTAAAGTGTGTGTCTCTGGCTTTGCTATCACTGTCTGGAACTAGTCTCTAATAAGGGAAAATGTTACCTGTGAAATACCGTGAGAGTGTCAGCTCTGCTTAGGAATTATCCTTCTCCTGAGTGTCACTGTACGTTTCTTTCCTAGAGAGATCAAATCAGTAACTCCCCGCTGACTGCTGGCCTCTTGGCTGTGCAAGACATGCCAATGAAGCTGGGAGTACTGCAGAAGCTACTTTGTTGAGTCAGAGTGTGCTCTGAGTAGAAGTCTCCTCTAGCTAAGACAAAAATCATAAGGTTAACGATAGGCTTTAAAAAATCTTATTCATTACTTCATATCCAGAAAAATGAGATGTTGCTTCAGTGTTTTCCTGAGAGTTGCAAACAGCCAACAGCACTGATGTTTGAAAAGATCAATGAAATACATCTTCCCTTGTTTCAGATTTACTAGACTGGTCTGCCAGATTTGTGTTAGACTCTTTTCCCTTGATAGTAGCGTTTGACCTTCAGAAAAGAAGTCTGCTGTTTCTCTCCTAAAGCTGAAACACGAGGTTGATTTCTGTATGTCTGTGGTCTGAAGCCTGTGCTAATTTATAATACTTTGAATGACAGTTAATTAATTATCTATTTCTCTTTCAGTGCTGGCTGTTTCTTTACTGATGATATTCAGAACCAAACGAACGCGATCATTCAGGGTGATGCAGATACTTCCTCTGATACAGAGCTTCCCAGTGTACCCATGAACCTTGCCAACACTCCCCCGATGGGAGCTGCAGCCGGCAGCGCTGGTAACGGCACAGGCAACCAGACAGCAGAGCTATGTGCAAATTTGACTGTGGATCCTCTGGACCCTGATCAAGGAGGAGCTGCTGTTGCTTCAACTGATAATGAGAATGCTAATGTTGAAATGCAGAAGTCTCCTACAAACCCAAGTCCTTCTGCAGAACTGCAGTGGACAAACATTGACTTGAAGGAGGCCCAAAAGCATCCAGTCCTCTCCGTCAGCACCTTTGCAGAAACATCCAGCCTGTCTTCCCTTGGCATGTTCTCAGTGGGAGCTGAAGAACAGTACGGAGCCGATGAGCACCCACTGTGGGCTTGGGTGTCTGGGGGAGGCTGTCTTGTAGATTTGCACAGCCCATTGAAATGGTTCACTGTTCCGTCAGGTACTATCCAGGCACCGCAACAGACCCTAATTCCCAATGCTTTTTAAGAAAAATGTTGGTTTGGGTCTTTTTTGAACAAAGCCGTGGTGCAAAACTTGTGATAACCCATTTACTCATATTGCAGTTTGTTAATGCACTCCATGTCTGAGGATAGTGCTGCATGTATTTAGCTGGACAGCACTTTGAGATTGAGATATATAAATATAAAAAGGTGATATTTTCTCTAAGTTTCTGTAAGAATTTTGTAAAGTAATCTGTGCTGAATCTGCACCTCATTTTTAATTGCAATGAAACTGCAACTTCAGGTAAAACCCATAATATCACTGAATAGTAACTGAGAGCGGTGAAAAGGACTCTCTTGAGAGATGCAGTAACTGCTTCGCTCGTACATTCCTACTGAGACAAGAGTAAGATGCAGAAATCACTCAGAGGCATTGTAAGTGGTAGCCCATCTGATAACTGGATGGTGTTAGAATTTAGATTCTTGAAAGACAGTGGAATATAACCATATTTTGAAAATAAACCATGAACTGTTGCATCCCAGTATTTAATAGCAGTGTAACTCTTAATGCATTGTATTACCTAATTATCTTGCAGTTCAGTGACAAAACTCCCAATTTTACAAGGTTATGGCCTTGAAAGGTTCTATTTAATCTAGTGATCCCATTTCTATGCATCATTTACAAAGTTTGGCTGTAATACATTGATTCCAAAGTATAATAATTAGAAAAATTATATTAGACTGGGTTGGTGCAGTCCAGTGTTCAAAGCAGCACCGTGTTTTACCTTTCACAGAACTGTATTCAAAGCTCACTGGATTTTATTGGGTTTGGTTCTGTTCTAGGTTTGTCATCCTGTGTGCAATCTCTGTCTCTGTCTATCACTCCAGCACAGACAGCAGCATGGCGAAAGCAGATTTTTCAGCAGCTCAGTGAAAGGACAAAGCGGGAACTGGAGAATTTTAGGCACTACGAACAGGCTATTGAGCAGGTAAGCAGTGAGGACGCTTATCTCTTGTCTACTAAACACATCTATCGACACTGGGCATCAATAATACGTTTCTGATGTACTGATCTGAACTTACTGTCAAGCTTTATGTTCTTGTCCTTATTTTCTGGGTTATCACTGCCTGAGCTCCCTGTGGGAAACTAGCAGCTTGTCAAACATGGAGCAGCAATCTTTAAAAACATTAGCTGATAGTTTTGTATAGGAGCAGACAAAGCATCGGTCAGCATTATTTAGTACACTGAAACTTCAAATCCACAGAGAAACGTTTGCAGCAGTGGAACATTGTATGAATTACTCCACCACAAGATGATGCTTCTTAATTGAAACAGTGACTCAAGTAGGTGAACTTTCCCCCTCTGCAACCATTAAGGGATTAAGGTACCTTGCATAAATAAAACAATGATGCAAAAGTCAATAGCAGCACTTAAATAGCATCACTTTTGTTTGGTGTTCCCTTTGTTATGACTCCTTGGCTCTTTTTAGATTCATTCACATGTTTGGTCCCTTCATTGCAAATTGCCAGATGACATCTGGAATTTATTTGATTAAAAACACTTGGGGTCCAGGGGTTTAATCAAGTTTAAAAAGATTACATCAAAAGCCTTTAAAGTCCAAACAGAAGTTGTGTTCTAACTGGAGCGCACTAGAGCCCATTAGTATCTGTGCACTACTGCATTCTTGCAGAGGTAAAATACTGTTGTACACATGCTGTTTCAGTGCCTTTCTATCCAGTTTTGCCAGTTTTCATTTTGTCTTCAGCTTCCTGAACACTTTGGTATACTCTCTGTCAGAATTAACTGATGTGGTACAGACTAACCTGCAGCAGAGATTTCTCGTGATCACAAAAAAATAGTGTTTGGGAGAGAGTTACGCGTTTTCCTTACTCCTGTAAATTTGTGTTTGCCTTGCAGTCAGTTTGGGTTAAAACTGGAACTTTGCAATGGTGGAGGAATTGGAAGCCTCATAAATGGATGGATGTTCGAGTTGCACTTGAGCAGTTCACTGGGAGTGATGGAATGCGCGACAGCATCCTGTTCATCTATTACATGTATCATGAGGAGAAAAAGGTGTGTACAGCTTGAGACCCTTGAGAGACTTGCATTTGGCCAAGGGAAGGGAAGACAGTTTTCTAAAGGGAGGCAAATTATGGTATGCTATTGTTCTAAGTTTTGGGAACCAATTCGAATGTAGCCCAGGGTACTAGCAGATTGCAAGCTTTTCTAAGCTGTAGCTCTGTTAATGCTATGTCAGAAACACCCAGTCAGCAGCCATCCACATTGCTTAAACCATCAGCTTTGCACTAACTAGGAATTCTTCTGGAAGTTCAAAATGTTCTTGATTGTGAAGAAAGAGCCAAGCTTGGCTGGCCAGGGTCTTCATAAATAGGGTTAATGCACATGGGCAATAGGAATCAGAGGTAGTGCAGGATTGGAAATAGAGCCCGGTTCCTTCTGCACCCAGAATTCTTTGCTATCCTTGGCAGGAACGCCTCTTTCATTGTCCTGAAGTGCGAAAATGCTGGCTCTGAGGAAGGTATGTCTGAGTTTGTCTTAGACGCCTTTTTTTTCTTCTCTTTTCTTAGTATATCCACATGTTCCTGAATGAAGTCACTATTATAGTTGAAGTTCTGAATGAAGCCAAACACTCCTTTGCACTGTATACGCCTGAAAGGACAAAGCAGCGATGGCCAATCCGCCTGGCAGCCACAACAGAGCAAGAAATGCATGACTGGGTAATTCTGTAAATTTTTCATTTCAAGCTGGCTGTATGTGAAATAAAACATAAAAGCTAGTCTCTGAAATCTCAGCATTACATATATAGTATCTGGACTACTTACACAATTTAGGTATTTAAAAAGTTTGAGGCATCTGAGGCTTCCTATCTCCTCTGGGGTTTGCATGCTTTCTGATACTGCAGCTATCCACAGCAAAACCGGTATTGTTTTTCCTTCCCTTCCTATCTCTGGATATAGATGAGGCTACAGTTAGGAGCTTAATTCAGTTAGTTTATTCTTCTGCATTGGTAGAAAAACTGTTACCTATTGTCACTGTTGTGGAGTCTTAGGTATAGGCAGGCAGGCACTGAAGCAATGGAAAACCTGAAAGATATTTCATAATGATCAGATACTGCAACCCACATTGGTTCCGGTGATGTGTTAATAATTCCCAAAACACCAAATTCCAGTGCCTTTGAGAAAAAGCTGCTTATTCACCTTGCTGATTTGCAAGAACCTGCAAAGGTAAAACTTTGTTTTGTAATACTGAAGGATCTATGGGAATTTTTGTTCTCACTTAAACAGAAGCTTTTGGTTCTCTGCTTCTTGTTTTGTAGCTGTCTTTGCTGAACATGTCCTGTTGTGAAAGCAGACGGATTCAAGGCCCTCCTTCTCACCATGCCATTTGGTCAGTTACTTGCAAAGGAGACATCTTCGTTAGTGAGCCAAGTCCTGAACTGGAGGCTGGACCACACCTGATGCCGTGTGATCAAATGTAAGAGGTTTCAGAAGCTGTTCTTTGTGCATGGGATGCCATCCAGCAAAGACTGTCTTCCCTGTCAAATCAGTGGCTTTGATGGGCTGTTGGAGTGTATAGTGCACTGCAGATGTCTGTCGATGACAAGGTTAATGGCTGCCTTCATATTCATAAGTACATCTGAAGGAGTTCACCAAATCATATTTTAATTCTTAGATGCGGGAGCTATTCATGTGATTTCAAAAGTCTTTCTCATTGAGATCCCATTTTTTTGTGATTGCATCTTTAATGCCGTAATTATTTAAGTTAAGAGTGGCCTAGACTAAAAGTAAACCTAATCACTGTAATTCTAATGTAATTTGAGCTTTCAGTTTTATCTGAGTCAGGAAATCTGAAATTCTCAGTTCTCCATAGTCACTACAGTCCAGGGGCAGCTCCTTTACAGTTTCTGTTACAAGTGTGACAGTATAGTACTACAGACTCTTCAAGCAAAAAAAATACCAGCCTCAGAACTGGTGGGTCAAAGGCCAATCTTCAATTTAAAAAATACCCCCAGCTCCAAGTTACTTGCACAAAGTGTCTTTGAATAATAGCCGAGAGATCCTTTAGTCCTTTTCCTTCAGGGTAGAGCACCTTCAGCATCTGGCAAATCACAAAGCTGCATCTTAGTTTGGGGGATCTGTGACCTAGATGATCTCCTGCCATTCTGATAACTAAAATACTCCTCCGAAATCTCTATTTGCCTCATTCTTCCCCAGAAAAGTACCATGGCCAACTGGCTGTGTTAAAGCCCCAGAAAACGATTATCCTGCATAGATTAGGAATACAGGAAGAATGAAAGCCCTTGTTTTTACTAAGCTCCATAGCAGATATATAAATAATTTGTTTTGTTAGATAAAGGCGGAATTGTCTTTAAAAAAAAAAAGAGGATGAAGTTAAAGCTGAGGCAGTTGATGGTCACTAAGACATAAAGATTCTAGCAAGATCATCCTAACTAGTGTTTAAAAGAATATATATAAAAAACACAAGCGAAAAAATAAAAGGAAAGTAAAATACTTCAAAGCCTGAAAATTCCAAGTGGAGGCAGACCAGTTCCTCCCAGCTAACTTTTCAGTAGTTGTTCAGAGGGAAATGTTTTCAACTGGCAACTGCCTTCACTTACAGATTGCACAGAGGTTGAACAAACAAGCATATAGAATTGCATGTCCTTAAGACTGTTGAGTTGTAGGAGCGGCAAGCGTAAATTCCTGGTGGATGTGGTGTAAATGTAAAATGTTGTCCTTTTTCTGGCAGGTTTTGGCGTCAAGTTGGAGGTCACCTGCGACTGATAGAGTGCAATAACCAAGGCATAGTGTGGGGCATAGGATATGATCACACAGCTTGGGTTTATACTGGTGGCTATGGAGGTGGCTTCATTCAAGGTATGGACAGTTCGTGTACTGGGGTGTGCACCTTACTTACTTCCCTTCCTGACTGGGTCAGCTGTTCAAGCTATTTCAGCTGCCCTTCCTTTAGCCCGACTACCATCTAGGGTTATACAGTGAACAGGCCACACATCAGGAAGGAACGAGTATTGCAGTTTTATATTTTCAGCTTAGGAGTGAGAAATAGGATGATCAGCCATATTACTGTGGCTGGCATTTAAAATGTAGTGTCTTTAAGGTTTAGCTTTACTATAATCCAAATCATTTATTTCTCACAGGACTGGCCAGTAGTGCTGATAACATCTATACGCAGTCAGATGTGAAATGTGTTTACATCTATGAGAACCAACGGTGGAACCCAGTCACTGGCTATAGCAGCAGGTTATTTACTCAATTTATTGTATCTATTTGCTGTAATTTTTTACTACTGTCAAATGAAACAAGGGGTTTGTTGTAGCTTTTCAGAATAGTTACTACAGTTATTCTATCTTCAGTCTCCTCCAACATTTATTTATTGTTAACCTGAGATGGAAGAAGCAGCATTTCTCAGTTTTCTAGATTTGTAATTATCCATTCAAAACGCATTTGTAGCAAAACATTACAGATTTGTGCTTTGTGAGTGCACAAAACGTGCCTGCTTGCAACATCTTTCATTATTAAGGCCATACAGCAAAGTTCTTACTAGGATCTATATATTCATATAGATACTGTGCTAAATACATTGGGTCCTTGAATAGTGTATTTAAAGAGAAGTGTTGAACAAGCACTCACATATGTGGGTGTCTATGCCAGAGAAACTCAGGATTCGTCTTCCAGTTTTAAATAGTGAGGAATGTCACTCTATAGAGAAAAGTTTACATGGTCCTCAAGTTTGGTGTAACTGGAAGCAATTGTACAGATTCCCGCTATCCTCATCACTCACATGGTATTTCTAAATACAGATATTAATGACAGACCGATTTGTGTAAGAAAGTAGGAAGTGCTACAAATAGGCTTTTCTTCCCTTGCTTCTTAAATTTGCTGTGGTAAATGACCTTGCATTCCTTACACACTGTTTCACCACAGAGGTCTGCCCACGGACAGATATATGTGGAGCGATGCATCTGGCCTGCAGGAATGTACAAAAATAAATACCAAGCCTCCTTCTCCGCAGTGGTCTTGGGTAAATTTTCTCTTCAAAGTCTGTTTACTAAGAAGGCAAGGCTTAGCAAGTAGAATACAAGACTTGGGCTCGAATGACCCAGATTTTCTTCCTGGATTTATCACAATATTTAACCTTAGTTTCCCCATTTATACAATACCAATAATCTTCTATAGTGAGAAGAATGTTAAGCATTGAGTGAGATTTTTTGTTTAGTGGGACTCAGGCTTCTATTCCAGTCCTTTCCTCTTAAACTGAGTTAAAAAGACTTGGGAACCTCTATGAATTTATATTGCAAGTGTTAGAAGGCTTCTGCCAATTCATTGCTCTCCAAAAGGTGGAAAGGAAATAGCGGAAGAGGTTATTTTAATTACACATTAGGTGTTGATTGTGCTTGTTATTGTCTCCTTTTGACAACAGGTATCCGACTGGTATATTGATTTTAATACTTCAGGCGGAACTGATCGGGAAGGCTGGCAGTATGCAGCAGACTTTCCAGCGTAAGGAGATACCTTCTTCTACCTAAAATCCCAGCAGGCAAATGCCATACTTAAGTCTTCATTTCGTCTTGTTTGCTATTTTGCACATTAACTGTGCTTTAACAGGGACAAGCGTGCCTTGGTTTCTCCCTTTGTATGGCGATACTAACACTGAAATTTGCCAGGGAGGTAGGGCAGCAAGGTGAGCTTAGCAAACTATGGTTTCAAGCATGTAAAGTCAGCAGGCATGTCTGGTGGGCAGATACATAGACAGTGCTGTCAGGCTGGCACTGATGTTGGAAATGCTCCGACATCCTCATGAACACCTATTTAAATCTGTTTTGGTAGGTCCTACCATGGTCACAAGACAATGAAGGACTTTGTCCGACGGAGGCGCTGGGCAAGGTGAGGAACCAAGATACAAATAAATGTTTTTAACTGGGATGCTAACTGTTCCCTTAAAGTCTCCTTTAGTTATGAGGGGAAGAGTCTCATCACCCAATCAACAAAAGCAATAGTGAAGAAACCTGCAGAAATAACCAATCTCCAGTAGAGAAGCTGATGATCTTTAGCGTTATGGCTTTAATTTTAAGCCTTTACAGGCTTGGATTTTGTGGGATCCGTAGGTAACAGTCAGCTAGTTATTATCTGTATCTGATTTTCCTTACGGTAAATGGTTAAGGAATAGTAGAGTCTAGGTATGTTAGCCCATGCTAGGTGACTTGTAACAATTGGTAATATGTCTGTTACATTAACAGTTTTAACATATGAATTCTACATGCTGCATACTAGGCTACAGATAGTCCCAACCCCATTTAAGTCACAGTATACTATATCCAGGTGGCACCTGGAAAACGGCAAACTGCCACTATATGCTACTCTGTTCTGTTGATCAGGGACAGTCTGTGCCTTCACTGTTTTTCCAGCTTTTCTATGCTTTCTGTACTAGAGTATCTAACAGCTATGCTAATAAATTGCTGTGAATTTACAGTTACACATTGTTCTGTTTGTTATTGAGACTACAAGGCTAGTGTTTTGGCACTTCTACAAAAATCTTTGAAGTAACGTCCTGAAGCATCAAACTGTTGTTCCAGGATGTGCAACAAAACAAACAACATCAAATCAATCAAAATCAGGACTTGAAATCAAAGAAGCAACTTGAGAAATACCCTCAAGCCTAAACATTTCCTCTGGTTTTAACTATCAGTTGAAAATTGAAAACAAAGAGGGAACAGCTCAGGGCTGGATCCAGTTTTTCAGAACTGGAGAAAGGAGGAATGTCCTGAGTTTTTTAGGATGTTCTTCATACACAGAAATAGCTGTGTATGAAGCTATTCTGATGACAGAATCTAACATAGTTTCCCTAACAGATAGCACTACTTCCTTGCAGTTTCCACAGAAAAAAAATAGACAAATTCCCAGAATGATCTACCTCCAGCTCTTTAATTTAGAGCTGCCTTATCTCTGCCTACCTCAGGGTGCTCCATAACTTTCTAACAGGCTCCACCAAAAAGCTACTTAAAATGATTCCCTTAAGCAAGACAGAGGAAGGAATGAACGAGGTGTGAAGTTCTCCCTGAGATGGGATTCTTACCTTGGAGTGAAATACTCATTATCCAGCTGTTGCCCAATGAGTTTTAGAGAGCTAGGGAGCAGTGTAGCACAAGCTGCAGACTTCTTGGGTGCCCTTGGTTTTATAAAGTAACTTCTTTTAAAAAGCAGACACTTTGAGAACTCAGTAATCTGTTGAAATTCAAAACCTGATACAAAAGATGATTGATTATTGTAAACCCCTTTCAAATTAAAAATACTAACACTTACTGTACTGGCTTAATGAAAAAAACTGCAGGCTTGTTTGCACTGAAGTCCACAATGGACTGGGAAACAAACTCAGTTATAGAAAGTACATACTTCTGACGGGCTTGGGGTTTTTTTGCTTCAGAAAATGTAAGATAGTCACCAACGGGCCATGGCTGGAAGTGCCTCCTGTTACCCTGTGGGACATCTCCATAATTCCCAGTTCAGATGCAGATGACGAAGAAGCAGTAGCACTGTGGGCAATCAGTGACAAAGGAGACGTGCTCTGCAGGCTTGGAGTGACACAGCAAAACCCAGCTGTAAGGCTCCCTGTTTATTTTTACTGCCTTATTGATGTATTTAATGTAATTATGCAGGTGCATACACACAATCATGCAGTGCCCTCTCTCAAAGCACCTTGTTATTTTCTTCCCTTTTATGTCCCAGATTTGAAAGTCCTTGTCCATCAACTAACACAGTTTGCTGCCCACATTTCTTACAGTAGCACTTCTCTTGCATAATCTACCTTAGCTTGTGCCACGTCACTTGCAGGAGCCTCTCTCAGCCCCTGTACATCTTGTGAAGCACTTTACTTGCACTCTCTGCACTGATAGCTTAGTTCATCTTTTTCTTTTTTGTTTTATTTTTCAATAAAAAAAATAGTATTATAAATAAATAATTATAAAAAAAGATGATGTGTGTATCCCATTTAAATGAACTGCTGAGGGATAGAATTTCTCTAAAGTACAGTCCCAGTCTAATGCCTGTTAATATCAGTGGGAGTTTGTCCATTGACTCGTCTGGGCCTAGAAATGACTGACTTAAGACAGGTGGGCCTGGGCTAACCTACAGATTTGATTTTTTTATGGACCAGAACAGAAATAATGAATGAATGTCCAGTAAAGTATGCAGAAAGGAACAAAGAGTCCCAGTAACTTCAGTAGGAATACTTATTTCCTACTAATAGCCACATGCTGAAACATCAAATTAGGGTTGATATGCACTGATTTTTAAGCCATGTTTACAACAGGGGAAAAACAATCTAACAATATACTTCAGTATCAGTTACAATAGCACAGATCTGTAAGACACTGCAACAGCCTGGAATACTGTCTGGAATCTGAAGCCCCGTATCAGTTGATTTTTGTGAGGCTATTGTTCTGTGTAATCAAACCCAAGGGATTATTAAAAAAGGAAAAAAAACCAAGGCTCTAGCACAGCTATTCAGAGACATACAGGTGCCTGAATTCCAGTGATGTCAACAGAAGAGGCACTGTTATAGTCCAACATAGCAATTTCCAAAGAATTATATATCCAAACATCTTTGAGGATCAGGGACCTTGTTTCTGTTTAGTTGTAAAGTTACGTAAGAATCATTCTTCAGAACCTTTTTTGCTATCTAGGGTTTCTCCCATTTGGTATTAAACAATGCTAGTTTGTTGTGGAGTTTTTAAACCATTGCTTCACAATTCATCTCCCATGATTTGTTAGGGAACATCCTGGCTGCACGTGGGAACAGATCAGCCTTTCATTTCCATCTCAATTGGAGCATTTTACCAAGTGTGGGCTATTGCTAGAGATGGTTCTGCCTTCTATCGGGGCTCAGTGTCTCCAAAGAAACCTGCAGGTAAGTACTTGTACTTTTTTAGTGCAGACTTCATCTTATACATCGTGTAAGCTTGACTACAGTGCCATGTCTGAAAAAGACAAATCTGTTCAGCAGAGTCCTTTCCAATAGCTGTGCAAAACAGTGCGTATGAGTAAGACTTATGTTAATTATAGCAGTTAATTTGCTCTTCACTTGTGTGATTTGCTTCTAAAAACAAGCTAGTAAAAATACATTGTGTAATGTCATTCACAGCTTTCTTGCACAGCTATGTATTTCAAGTGCAGACATTTCCAAGACTGCTCATACATAATCATGTTTTCTCAATGTTTTACTCAAGTATTTCTGACTTTTAGGTGACTGTTGGTACCATATTCCTTCACCTCAAAAACAAAAGCTAAAACAAGTCTCGGTAGGACGAACGTCTGTGTTTGTGTTGGATAAAAACGGTAAGGATTTGTTAAAATTATTTATCAGTGTTACAAAAAATAAATTGGTATACATCAGATTGACTTAAAAAGGAGAGGCTAAGCCAGAGCTTCTCTGGACAGGTTACTGTTGCTCCAAGAGGAGCAGTACTTCTTACTCAAAGAGATGGAGTAGGCAGCCTGCTCAATTAGTGGTTTTGAAGACCTGGGTTTTGTTACAATATGATAGTGCCCTAGATAGCAGCAATCCAGCATCTCGATTGGGGTGGGGGAAAGAGATAGACAAGTCTCAAAGAAGACAATTGCATGGAAGGATTTGTCTGAAACCCCAGAACATGCACAACTGCAGAAGAATGCCTTCCTGTTGCAAAGTTAAATAATGAAGCATGCTTCTGTAAAAGAAACAAGCCTTTAACACCAGTCTCCTTCAGAGATCTTAATCTCATTTGGTTTACTTCTCTAGTGCACAGTTCTTTATATGAACATTTTTCCCCAAGAAACTTTACAAAACGAAGTTGTTTGTTAGTTTCCAGAAAAGATCTAAAGAATAACTGTAGTAATACAGAATTCGAAAGTAGGAACTTCATTGTCCTTCAGTGCAGCACATTAGTCAAAACCATAATGCATTTCCACCGAACACAGAATGTACCTGCTGGTCGGTTATGTTGTTTACTAGCACTTTACACAAAGCAGACATCCTGAGCTGTAACCGGGACTATTTATCTTACAGGCAATCTTTGGTACCGGCAAGGTATCACACCAAGCTACCCTCAAGGATCTACTTGGGATCATGTTTCAAATAATATCCGTAAAATATCTGTAGGACCCCTGGACCAGGTGTGTATTGAGCTTCATTGTGTCTCATTAGTTTATTAAAAACTATGCTTAACATATTTTTGTAATTAAATGTTCTTCAGAATTATTTTTATTTATTCCACAAGGTGATTGTCTAAATGCTGGAATCCTGATAGCAAGACAAAAATCATGCCAATGAGGTAGTGCTACAGCCAGCCCTTTGTGTAAAAACCTCCTTAATGTTTTGGGTTTTTTTGGGGTTTTTTTGTTTGTTTGTTTGTTTTTTTAATGAGGCTATTTTATATAGTTAAATCTCTTTCCTGCCAAGTCTTACTATCTGGCAATGTTTCAATTCCAACACTGTTATCGAGTTGTTTATTTGGGTGCGTCTCTGACTAAATTAGCACAGTTTTGGCCTATTCAAGATCAAGACTAATTGCTGAAAGTGGTCAAACAGACTTAAGTTTTCCTGTCTGGGAAGAGCAGCATGAAGAGCACATTTTATTGCCTCTCTTTGCTTTCCTGAGGTCTGGGTGATAGCTGACAAAGTGCAAGGAAGTCATAGTTTGAGCTGTGGGACCGTCTGCCATCGGACTGGTGTGCGACCAATGGAACCTAAAGGCCTCTCATGGGATTATGGTATTGGGGTAAGTGCTGGGGGTGTAGTACTGCCTGAAAGTGGTAAGTCCAAAATACCCATGGGCACGCTTAGAAAGGAGAGTGCGTCCCGCTCCAGCTGGCAAGCTTTCTAAAGCTTGCATACACCTGCAGGAAACTGACCTTTGTTTTTAAGTTTTAGGTTCCTTTTTTAAGTTAAGATAATAGGTTATGCAATTATGGCTGGAAGTCATTTATTTGCATTTGCAAAGTATTCATTTTCAGTAGAAAGTTATAGTGGAAAAATCAGTAAAGTACCTTTTTAAAAAATGTATTCCTTCCAAGTCTGCACATGATTGTTCCTGTATTACCCTCGATGTTTTGAGAAAGGCTGTTTCAAGGTTTGGGCCCCTTTTAAGTTGGTGGGAAACCTGCAGTGGCTCTGTTATGAATTCCTGACCCTACTAACTCTGTTCCCTGTAGTAAAAATAATGCTCAAGTTTACTACCGATGTACCTCCCTCAGAGGGAGGCATGTTGCATTCTGCTGTGTTTTGTTTTACAAAAAGCCTTTTTTTTGATTCAGCCCAGAGCAGGATTATTCTCCTTAGGAAAAAATAGTATAAAACTAGTAGTGTACATAAAGCATCATATCAGATATGGTACTTGCAGGGTGATGTTTCTCCTTTTGTATTTCTTTATCAATCTTTTACAGGGTGGATGGGAGCACATCACAGTCAGAGGAAATGCAACAGAAGCATCTAGGGTTGCTACACATGACACTTCTGAGGAAAACCCTGCAGTATCAAAGGATTTAGAAGATGAGGAGAGTAAAGGGAAAACAGAACACTCTAAAACCCCTCTGATGGTCAGTGAAAGTCAAGAATTGGACAGAAATGCTGTTAATTGTTAAGTTGTTGCCATCTACATGTTGCAAACAAGTGGTAGTCAGTATAATTTAAAAAGAAACTAAATGTCTATTGCCTGAAGAGAAAAACGTGACCTTTTTGGGCTACTAATACAGTTTACTGAACTGGAATTTGCAATGGGGTATTTTAAATACTGATTTCTTCTACTACATCATGAGTAAAATGTGACTTGATAGAGCTAATAGTTTTGTCAAAGCAGGCAAGCTTTTTAGTCACAATATATTTCTGACCCTTTGCCATAGCTGCTACACACCATACAAATGTGAATATCTTTGCAGAAGATCACTGCATTTACTTCTTTTTTTTGACTAGTACAGTTCCCTTCCCTACATTTCTCTTGTATTCACATACTTCACACACTGTTCAGATTCATATTTGAGCAGAGATGAAGATGTTAGCTCAGTTAAAATTAATTCCTCCAGTGATTTGCACTGCAAGCATATCTGGGCCTGATTGTACAAGTGTTTATACGTGCACATAACTTTGCTCATGCGAGTCCTGCTAATACAAGCATGTATTTCGGTTATGCTAGTCTTGCTCCCATCAGTAAAATTAAATTCTGTGCAATTCAGCTTGGGTGCAGTTACCAGAAAGGGCCAATTTTTGCTATCTTTGTTCAGGGAGTAATACCTTAATCACAAAGTGGAACCACTGGTTTCAGCAAGACTGCGTAGAGAGCACCGTCCCATTCAGTCTGACCAAGAGTGACAAAGTCTCATTTTAAATTGTCAGTCCAAATGGTGGTAGATCATGTTCTGTCTCCATCTTGACTGGATCCGTGGTAACTGAGGTATACAGGTGCCTACCTAATGAGGCTGGAAGGCACCGGACACTTGAGGAGTGAGGCTGTGTTCCAGATCACTGCAAATTATGCTTTCAAAGTGTAAAAGACACGAGGAGGTCTTAAATAAGGTTCTGACTTCACAGTGGTAGGAATGCAAAATGACTTCACTGGTATCCGTGGAGTTTACCAGCATAGACTAATGTGGGTTTAGAATGAAGCTCTGTTCTTTGAGTGATTCATCCCTTCTTCCAACATGAAACCACTTTTTATTCTCAGAAAAAGCTTTTTTTCCTGTCTTACCATAATTTGACTGTGATGTGAAACTACCCTTGGAAATCCAGTCCTTGGGAAGTGCTGGAAAAGCCTTCTCTCCCAATAGCTTCAGGAAGGCACCATGTTTTTCCCTGGCAGCAGTTTACAATCGTTTTTCCTCTCTTTGTGTGACTGTATATTGAGTTATTTTTATATGATGAGCAGTGTGATGTGGTCTCAGTACTGTATCTGTAGAAGTAAAATTTATGTTTGCACGTATTTAAAGAATATATTTGGTTTATTAATGCCAAGGAAAGCACTGTTTCCAAGTCCAGATGTGAATCAAGATTCAGGATGCTTTACTGTTTTAAAAAAAAAACCCCAGTTGATCTTTCCAGTGTGTGATTATAGATTTCTGGTTTATACATACATTGTGGAAGTACCATAAATAACATGTTTGCATTAATTAGCATAATAGGTTTTGCATAACTTGCACAGTATCTTGTCCAAATAAATAACTTTATCACATGTATTTTTAGAGAATTACTAGGATTGTATTTTCTCTGTGTTGTATCAAAAATATTTTTTCTTTTAATAGTCAGTGTTTACATATCCAACAATCAGACTGATTTCATACAATAAGCTTTATAATGTACCTTTCTGTTTTTCCCTGCATTGCCAAGTTTCACTTACTTTACTGTAAAAAGCTGGGTTTAAGTGAACAAAAGATAAATTATAAGTTGAGTACTAAATATTTGCCTTCTGAAACTATTATTTAGATAATTATTTAATTTAAAAGTATAATGTCATTGTTATGGGTAGTTAAAATAAGGAAAAAATACTTTAAATTGAAACAATTTTGAAAAATAAAAGTAATTTATCAGAAAAAAACTGCTTCTTAGAAAATCCCTTTTGACATGTTCAAGAAAGGACCATTTCGTGGTCCTGTGCCTGACTATTCAGTGGGGCTGGCTGTGTTCAAAGGAGTAACCTTCATGTGCCTCCTCTGCTACTTACTGTTCTAGATACTACATGCCATTTTGGTCTTAATATTTGAAGTAATGCCTCTGTTTGTAGGAAGTCATGTCAGAAATACACCGTCACAAGCATTTAAACTCTGTAATTATAGCAGTAATATCAGTATAACTGATTCTTAAAAGTGTTGTGCAATTCTTCATCAATAGCACTGTTAAAATACTGTTTTTCCAATTCATTGGTGTCCTTCCTCTGTTATCCCACAAAAACATTTCAGGGATGACATTTAGTATCTGGAAACTCTCAGATCGCCCTTATAATGCACTGGTTTAGCAGACTAAGGACCTTTAAAGAATCTTACAAAAAATTACCATAATCTCCCCGTGCTCAGCCATCATGTACCGTATGACGCACAGAATTTAGGCTGGAAGGGACCTCAGGAAGCCACCTAGCCCAATCCCATGTACGGCTATTACAATTAGGTTGCTCCAAGCCACGTCCAGTCAATCTCTGAACATCTCCAAGGATGGAAGCTCCACAACAACCAGCTGACACCGGTATTTGAGGCCACCACTGCTGCAGTCCAGGGCAGAGGCCCCAGGCCCTCCCTGCGGCCCACACCTAGGCAGCAGCGTCCTTCCCCTGGGGCAGAAGCCCCTGCTGCGACA